CACTTCCTGTTATTTCACATATAATTATCTCAACAACTGTCCATCTGAGCAATGTGAAATTCGTTTTGTAATGTGTTAATGCTTTCTTTCCAAAAATGCATTCACTTTAGAAAAGATTGATGTCACAGGCACTTTAAGTTTAAAACTGACTGCTAAGAACATTTCTGCTATAGTTAGATATTAATAAAACAACTGGTCTATTAGCAATATCTGAATACTTCAACCAAAAATACTTTGATTCATGAGTTTCTGCCAGTTTTAATCTTTTTGTCATTTGTGTTTATTTTGAAATTGGTCATAAATTTAATTTCACTTGGCATTAAAAAGTCTTAAAAGGTCTTAAATTTAGCTTGCCTTAAACTGTAGGAACCCTGTTTTAGCTCCAAATATTCTCTTTAAAACTAAAAGTGAAGGCTTTTGTCATAAAACATTCTGGATAAATAAAACATGACCACTGGAATCTTCCGCTGCTCATAGTTCAAGTATTTGCAAGATCTGACTTAAAGGTTTTGCATAGCCATCTTATTATCTTAATTTAATTAGAAGTCAGGGAGTGAGAGACAAGTGTGTGGTTACCAATATGAGCCACTGGCTGCAGCTTTAACATTACACTTCTTGATACAGTTACATCAACAATCTAATAATGGATTATTATAAAGTTTGATTAGATTTTTGACCACTTGTACCCTTTCAAATTTCTTGAGATTTTATAGTTATAATAAAACTTCCGGATTTTTGTAAGAAATCCAGCAGCAGTGGCTCCTAATCCTCTTCTTTTCCCACTTCAGCTCCTCGTGCAGTTTAAACGTGTGCACCGGGGTCGGGAGCCGACGGACACCCGTTCCCCTCGGCTCCGGCTCGCAGCCCAGCCTCGGTTATTGTTCCATGTGGCCTCAGTGGGTGGACGGTCGGACGGTCCATCRTGCCGCCTGTTGTTCAGCCCCTGAGCCAATGAGAGGCCGGCTCCCGCTCGGTCTCGGACCAATGAGAGCAGCGGTCTGGGCTCGGATAGAGTTGGGTTGTTCAATCTGCGAGGAGGACAACAAGCTCTCATCAGAGTGCACCGGATGGATGGATAGAGCAGGATGAACACAAGCGATGGTAAAAATCACCTTAGCCTTTTCTGGTTTAAAGATGCGGGAACTGAGCGCTGCCGAGCCGAGAGGCCCGGTGCCTGCAGCCGGCTCCGCGTGCTGAATGTCACCGGGGAGTTTTTTTTAAGCGATTAGCGGCGCAGTTCGCTCACGAGCTAAACCTTTTAGTTAGCGAACAACAACAAGCATTAGGTTAACTTCGATTGTCTGTGGGGGGAAAGCGGTAGCGATGTAGCTAACGCAAGTTACGGAGCTAACAAAACAAGTAATGGCTAACTCGAGCTAAGCAAACGAGCGTGTTTAACAGGGTGCGTTTTATATTAGACGCGGCATAAAGAGGGCTCAGCGGGGCTAACCCCCTCTGAGCAGAGCCGCTGTTAGCTTAACGCTTAGCGGCGTTAGCTGACTTACTGCCCGCTGGGCTGCCTCGACCCAACAAAGTTGGTGGAGGTTCCAGGAGAGAGTGGCTCTGTGTTCTTTGTTCTGGCTGAACATGGTGATGGTGGGGGAGCTTAGCACGGCGTGAGAAGCCAGCCTGGCTGAGCCACAATCGCAGACATTAAACCACGCACARGCAGAGGTAACATTTATTATATACAAAGATTAAATATCAGATCGTGGTCGGTTAGCATGCAGGAGCAGCACAACAACKGGATTAGAAGGTGCAGCTAACAAGAAACCAGTTGCACCGACCTGAGAGTTGTCACAGCTTTGAGAGGAAAATCAAGAAAATTCAGCGTGAAATAGAAACAATCCAAACAGACGATCATTCTTTATTACATCAACACTCCTTTCAGAAACTTTTATAGTTTTAATGATGTATCATAGCAGTACTAATACAAGTGCTGAAGTAAAAGTACCAACACAACAATGTAAAGAATCTTCATTCTAAGCAGAGGAATTTGCAGCACCAGGTCTGCTGCTCAAGAGCATCACTCTGCATCCATAATACTTTAATATGATTAACACTGAAAAACAATCAAAGGGATTAACAAGCTTTATAGTATTGCTACCTTTTTTAGCAGTTTTGTGTGTTGAAGCACCAAATGCAGGTTAAATATGATGAAAAGATGAATAAAGAAGGAAAAACTAAGTTCTGATACAGAAACTACATCATAGTTTGTATGTTTTTATGTTTGGGTAGTAAATTGTGACATTTTGTGAAGTGCAAAAACTTTACAAACAAAACTTGCTTTTTTGTCTGTAACTGGATGTGCTGGTTTGAGTTTTAGCAGTCAAATCACAATCCTCAAATTTTCCCTTTTAGTTAAGTTAGTTAAAACTAAGTAACTTACTGTTTGGTTAAATATTCTTTAAACTTTTTTTCAGACTTTTAGACTGTCCTAAATATTCTTGGTGAAGTTTGATGTGTTGTCAACAGAGGTGCTTTGCTTGTGCAGAGCTATTTTACACTATWTACTGTCGTCTTGTTCGTTTTAGCTAATTAGTCTTAAATGACTTCTTTGTTTCTCAGACTCGTCTTGTTGGTGCTGGTGGTGACTGTGGGCAGAATCTGAGTTCAGTTCTGAAGATGATGTGATGTTTTGACTCCAACCGGATCAAGCAGAGTACTTGTACAGTCAGTATATAATATACCGTTAAAAACATTTATGTAACTGGTGTTATTAGCTCCTAAACTTGCTTTGTGTTTGTAACTGTTCCCCTCAGAATGAGTCGCTGCTCGGCGGCAGGACGTGTGTCCTTTCACTGAGGCCACATGTGTATCTGGAGAGATGGACCGCTGTAAGCACGTGGGACGCCTTCGTCTGGGCCAAGACCATTCCATTCTCAATCCACAGAAATGGCACTGTGTGGAGTGCAGCACCACGGATTCGGTGTGGGCCTGCCTCAAGTGCTCCCACGTGGCCTGTGGGCGCTTCATAGAGGAGCACTCGCTCAAACACTTTCAGGAGTCCCAACACCCGCTGGCTATGGAGGTGCGGGAGCTGGATGTCTTCTGCTTTGCTTGTGGAGACTATGTACTCAATGACAACGCAGAGGGAGACCTCAAGCTCCTCAGAGGGGCCCTCTCTACGGTTCGGGGCCCGGGCAGGCGGTCACTGCGCTCGTCCACCGGAGCTGGCGAAGGCGGGCTACAGCCCGCCATGCTGCTGGCTCTGCGCCACAGGAGGAAAACGCTCCTGAGGAAGACGTTTCAGACGTGGTTAGGCAAACACCAAGAGCTTCAGAATGAGCGCGAGGAGAAACTGGAGGAGGCCAGGAGACAAAAGAAGGAGGTAAAAAGGAGGCTTATGGAGGAACTCGTCAGTGTTCCTCCCAGAAAGAGCGCCAGGCTTCTCACTCAGGCGCCACGTTCGACCGTCACGCTCATTCCTCGCAAATTTCGCGACCCGCCAGAACGCCTACCTCCTCCCGCTCCTCCCAGGAAGCCTTCGATTCTCACCCTGCCCCGCAAGGCTCCTCCGAACGGCAGAGCRGCCAAACGGAGGCGGTACTACTCCCCGCACGCTGTGACGCAGAGGAGACCCGCTCCGGGTGTGACCGGTCTGCGCAACCTGGGGAACACGTGCTACATGAACTCGATCCTGCAGGTGCTGAGCCACCTGCAGAAATTCAGGGAGTGTTTTCTAACGTTGGACCTGTGTGAGACTGAGGAGCTGCTGGCCAAAACCAACCACTCCCAGGCCCTGAAGGGCGTGACAGGAGGGGTCGTCAGTGGTGGAAACACGCCGCTGTCGGAGTTCCCACTGGGACGCGTGGGGAAGGCGGGCTGCTTGAATTTGCCAGTGGGCAAAAAAGAAAGCGTCCCGCCCTCCCCGCAGGCCGCAGAGTTGGTCCAGCCCAAGGAGTCTCGCTGCTCCACTCGCCAGCAAATGTCTCTGTGCCACGAGTTGCACACYCTTTTCAGGGTCATGTGGTCGGGCCGGTGGTCTTTGGTGTCTCCCTTCGCCATGCTGAACTCGGTGTGGAACCTCATCCCGGCGTTCCGCGGTTACGACCAGCAAGACGCCCAGGAGTTCCTGTGTGAGCTGCTGGACAAGGTGCAGCAGGAGCTGGACACGGAGGGCTCCAAACGGCGGATAGTCATCCCCATCACAAAGAGGAAGCTGTCCAAGCAAGTGCTAAAGGTTCTCAACACCATCTTTCACGGTCAGCTCCTCAGCCAGGTGAGACGCTGATTATCTCAACCAAAATCCAATTAATACTCATTAAACTTTCAGATATTTTTCTTTTATTTCTTTTATATTTTTACCCACCTGCCTAACTTCATTTGAACATTTTAACAGTGAAATGTGATTAAAGAGCTTCCATCTTTCCTGGCTTTATTATCTCTACGATAGTTCAGATCTTTTGAAGCTAGTTCTGCGAATGTAAAGAGTCAGCATCCTACCTGTTTCAGGCAGCTTATTGAACAACCTCACTTAGGAGTAATATTGAATAAATATCGAGCACGGCCAAAACCTAAAGTGAACTGTTTTTTTCTTAAAGCAACTTCTGTGTCAAACTTCTCATTTCTTTGTGCAAATGCTGTTTTATAAACCTTTCACATTTAAAATGTTTAAAGTATTCCTTTAACATGCTGCAACTTAATGAAACATGTCTCAGTCAGTGCGTTACCATTGACCATGAAAATGAAATTAGATGAAATTAGAATTTCGAAAATAAATTTGCTCAATGGAAACACGTCAATTTCGAAAAAAAATTACGTTTTTCGACAAAATGTTTTTGCGGTAGGATGAGGTGGTTTTTCAGCRGTATCGAAATTGGTGTTTTTCGCAAAACTGCAATGGAAACACTTTTTGCGCATCACGGGAGTCAAGTGATCAACAACCGGCTGTTTCTACTGGCGAAAAAGACAATGACGAAGAAGTTAACAGGAAGTAGAAYTAGTACTAATATCACAGAAGTAGTATAAAATAGTAAACTCATGACTACAATTTCCCAAAAACACAGCACACGTAGCCGCTCCCAAGTAGGGACTTGTCGCTGGAAAGCCTCGATAAAAAACGCTGACGTCTCCTCTGATGATGAGCGCTAGTGTGGTGGTAGCAATATGCTATGTGTTTACATCCATTGCCACCATGTTTGTAATGACTTATCGCGAGAACAAACGTATTCACGCGTGACTTTAAAAGCATTTCTTACTTAATGGAAACACCTCATTAGCAAAACTGTTTTTTCGACATTAACAGAATATCGACAAAGTTTTGCGCACATTTGCAATGGAAACGCAGCTGTTGAACAGCATCTCATTGCTGCTATTATTCATCATTGTAGTGATTATAAAATTATTTTATAATGAATTCACAAACCTTTCAGGTAAAAGGGAACTTATAGTTGAGTTTTTCAGTTCACATTTTCTGTCAAAATCCTGCAGCTTGATTTGGAAATAAATTAAATGCCATATGTTTTTGCTGTTTTCACAGACTCTCCTCCCATTTTCAAATAAATGACAACCCTTCTTATTTTCCTCCTCTGTTTTCCGTAGGTGACGTGTTTGTCGTGTAAGCACAAGTCCAACACGGTCGAGCCGTTCTGGGATTTATCTTTGGAGTTTCCAGAGCGATACCACAGTACCAACAAAGGCTCGGGCTCTACAGCTTACCAGCGGAGCTGCACCCTTGTGGAAATGCTGTCCAAGTTTACAGAGATGGAGGCTCTGGAGGGTAACATCTACGCCTGCAACCACTGCAACAGTGAGTACAAACCTGCATCGCCCGTTCAGTTTTACCAACGAGMGACTGAACTATGTATTTCTGCTCACTTTGATATTCAGAAAGGTTTCTCATTCAACTTGAAAGCTTCATTAATTGATCTTTAACGCGTTAATTTTTGATGAAGCGTTTACCTGAAGCTTCAGTATACATAAACAAGTAGGTCTATAAATTATTAAGAGCAAATATTAAGATCAAAGTGAAAGTCTTTAGAAGAAAGGCAAATATTTAGCATTTTATGTTTTTTTTAGTTTTCTATTTAGAAGGGAAAACAGCTGCTTTTCTTAAAACCAAAAACTTATTTAGAAGTCTTTTGTAAAACTTGTTAACATATTCCTAACAGTTCTGTTTCTGAGTAAAGTTAGACTAGTTTCCTAACAGTATTCTTGAAGTCTCCAGGATGTGAGGTAAGCTTCGTGGTGTTCTTAGCTTTCTGACATGAGTCACTGGGCCACGCAGGTCGATCACTGGAGGTTGGAGCACGTTCAGAAAAATGTGTGACAGTTTTTCTCTCAAACTACTCACAGGGTCATTGTGGGCATCTCCTGCTCGTCTCAAGAGAACTAGAGCTGTAGTTTGACAACATCCTCAGCATGATGGGTGAGGGCATGGAGAGGGAGCCCTGTCAAGCTTGCAGGTGTCATCTGCCCCTTTTTTAATGTGGAGAGAGCCTGGACACCATGAGGGAGTAAACAACAGTATCCTCCTTCATGGCAGATTGAGCGAGCCAGTGACCATCCAGCAACATCTGGAGTGAAGATGGGTCCTCCTGCCAGAGGTTCAGTTATCACTGACTAAAGGACATGAACGTCCTGTAAACCAGGATTTCCCACCCAAAACCCACCCACTCTATCTCCACTGAGTTTTAATATTTGGTGATTAAAACTGATTGAAACCTTCAGCCTGTTCTGTTGGGCAACATTAGTGACGCAAAACTAATATTAACACAGTCGCATAACTAGCCTGGTTTAAACCAGACCCTGTTCTTCACTTTGCTTCGTTCAAGMGTCTGGACTTGATGCATAGAGAATCAATTTCTTGCAGGAGGCGTGGCCTCTGCTGAAGTTTAAAACGATTGGATCAGTTGGCTGCGACGTATGTCGCTGTGGAGGAGGCTAAGCTAAGAAGCTAACCGGAAATCGCGTGTGCTATAAACAACCCTACTGAGAGGAGAAATATACRGAGCCAAACGAGACGACTGTAAATGAGAGCTGCTGCTTTGTCAGACAAATTTAATTTAATTTGGAAGCCTTATCAACACAGACTGACTTCATTCACTTCCTCCACTGCTGTATGCTAAAATAACCAGCAGACACTGCGCAGAAAATCAACGTTCTGTTCTCTGATTGGCCCAGCTAAAAATCTGCCAGCGAAATCCATCTCAATGGGAGAAGTCCCAGACGGAGCAGTGAAGGGAAACTAGAATTGAGCGGAGCTGCGTAGGAAGGCAAGGGCCAGGGTATCGCATAACACAACTGTAATGAAAGAAAATATTGTTAGGCGTGTTCGTTTACCATTTTATGTGCTTGAACCACACTGGAAATGTACCAATGCATGGAAATTGAATAGAAGAGTTCATACAACCCACACACACAGAGCTGCTCGGTCTGAAGGTGATTTATTAACCAGCGTTCAGGCCTCGTTTTACGGCAGTTCATTCAATATAACAGGATGGACAGGACGTGACTCCGCCTATTTTATTGCATCATCAGGAAGGGTTCCTCACAGCGCTGAAGCCATGTCCTCCGACAGAAATAATCTAACTTAATGAAGATTAACGGTTCAGTTATGTGTTGAATCTGTGTTCAGGTGTGTATCTACAGAAAATCATCAATTTACGCAAAATAATCACATTTAACAGATATTACAGTTCTTCTAATAATAAGACTACACCATGTGTAGTGRAATTAAGATCAGTATATAAGCAAACCCCAATAAATTTCTTCAGTTGCATGCCAAATAATAATAATAAGCTTTTTTTTTCTTTAATTAGAAATCAAAATTCCATACTTTCATTAATCAGGGTTCCCACGGGTCCTTGAAATCCTTGAAAGTTTGTGAATTTGAAAAAAAAATTCTCGACGGCCCTGGAAAGTTTGTGAAAACAGCCAAAAATTACACTTGTCCTTGAATGTTTTTTGGGGATTGAAATTCTCTATTCACACGACTGATTTTCATCATCTTTTAAAAAAATAAATTCTAAAATAAAAAAGTGTACATTGGATAACAACGTACACAACAATGTGATAACTCAGGATTACGGTAAACTGACATCATTGTTTRTGACTCAACAACTTCTATGTTGTTCAGTTTTTCATTGAATTTACATGATATTAAAKCTGTTTACTGGTGACATTCTGCGGTAGCAGTAGGTCATTGCCGTTGCGTGTGGTTCTTTAATTTGAGGAAATTGGTACTGGAAAATCCTTGAAAGTTCCTTGAATTTGATGTTGACCAGGGTGTGGGAACCCTGATTAAGTTTCTTCCAGTTATTCATGGTCAACAAGTCCAGAAGGAAAACCCTGCAACTCTCTCCTGCTCCTCCTCTGAGATCCCAAGGCGTTCCCTGGTTGGAGAGGATCTGTAATCCCTCTTCCCTCCCTGGAAGTCATAATTAGGGCTATGGCATATTTAATGTGAAATTCAATTCTAAAACTTTAATTTTACAAAAGGATAACTTTATTAAAGTGAGATTCTATGATTTAAACATAATTTTTTTTTCCCCTTGGTAAATACCTTTTTAAATACCTTGCAGAAATAATTTAATGTTCTACTGAACCACAGCTATTTATTATATTAATAAAAGTGAAATAACAGCCATTATTTTTTTATTTCTGTAGCTGTTTATTTGTTAAATTATTTTTCAGTCACTTTTTAGGTAAACAAAAAATTGTGATTGGACGATATGAGAAAATTAATCATGATCTTTTTTTTTTCTTTTTTTTTTTTGCTATATCGCCCAGCCCAAGTCATAATTATACATTTTATACAGTTTAAATGCGTGGCTCTAACTTTTTTTAAATTGTTTTGTTGGAGGGAACAGTTTAAAACTGCTGCTGGGAGCTACTCTCTCTCTTTGTCATTTTTTGTTTAATAAAGACGTTAGAAGCGTTTTGGCTAGTAACGTCTGTTTCATTGAAGCAAAGCGTCTCATGAGTAACGTAGGTTAGTTTTTGACTGTGGAGGTACTCACRATCTGCTGTTCTTTGTTGCAGAAAGAAGAAGAAAATCATCCCACAAACCCCTGGTTCTGTCAGAAGCATGTAAGCAGCTTCTGATCTACCGTTTACCTCAGGTTCTACGGCTACACCTCAAACGCTTCAGGCAAGTTGCTCTACGTCTGTGCCTTTGATCAAACTGCCTTCAAATTCATAACTTTTAATCGTCCTTGTTCTTAGAGTGCAGGAGTGTAGRGTTTTTTGTCCCGAGGTTCATGAATCCTCCTCCTCCCCTCTCTGTTCTGCAGATGGTCGGGCCGGAACCACAGAGAGAAAATCGGCGTCCACGTGGCCTTCGACCAGGTTCTGAACATCAAACCGTACTGCTGCACAGACTCAGGTCACTCCGTCCACAGAGGAGGCTACACCTACGATCTGTCTGCTGTGGTTATGCATCATGGGAAAGGCTTCGGCTCAGGGCATTACACCGCATACTGCTACAACACCGAAGGAGGTGAGGAGCACGTTTCACCTGTAGAACCATCCGGCTGCGCTCGATGCTTAACCTTGGTTTTAACCTTGTCGTCCTCAGGTTTCTGGGTCCACTGTAACGACTCTGAGATGAAGGTTTGCAGTGTGGAGGAGGTGTGCAACACTCAGGCCTATATTCTCTTCTACACCCAGAGGTCTGCTTAGGTACCTCTCTCGCTGTGATGTTGACTCGGACTGAGGGCTGCATTAATGAAAATGTTATCAGATCTTTTCCCAGATGTCACTTTAAAACGATTAACTGAAAGGAGAAAAAAATGGTTGCGGAGGGAAAACCACGTTTCTTGTCGAGGTTTCAGCAGCTTAATCCAGATAAGAAGCGTAGTGGTGAGTAATGAGCTGGAAACTGTGTCTGACGTTTCAGCAAGAGCCTTTTCCATAAATGAGGCTTCAGGGATCCCAGCTAGTGGGACCAGGGTTCGTTTGTTTTTGTTTTATGGCCTGAAGACTGTGGGAGCAGGTCCATGTCTGTCCTGCTGAACGCCAAGTTTGTGTGTCCATGATTTTCAAACAGCCGTCAGGCTTTCTCCTGAGACAGCATTTTACACTCGAAGGCAACACGGAGTCTGGAGTTTGAAACGTTTGCTTTCTATCTTTCACCGTAACGTTTGATCTRGGTGCTTCACATTCAAACGGTCCACGAGGAATCTGATCGTCAGACTAAATTCCAAACTCTGTGTTGCTTTTAATTCAGCCTTTTTTTATAATCTTGTGACATGTCAGATATTCGAACATTCACGACTCATCCCCGTGTCGTTTGTGTTTCGTCTTTTCTTCTCCAACATACTGCTGTGACTGGATACTGTGTCTTAGACTCGAGACTCTCAGTGAACATAAATATTGTTTTATTTTTTTTAATTTTTATTTTTTTTGTAGCCATTTTGTTTTAATTCCATGAAAAAGAGGCAAAAAAGTGTGCAGTTCAGATGTGTGACGGGAGGCTGCAGTTTGGTACTGCTGTATGATGGGGATTAATGAAATTAGCAGCTGGTCCTGTGGTGGTGACTCCTCCCCGACCCGCAGGAGACGAGAAACGAGCATATTAAAGAATGTGTTTTTTGCTAGGGGGGGACTCGGAGCACCCATTTCTTAAGTTGAGCACCTGAAAGCAATATATTGTACGTKTCTCATGTCGACTGAAAATTAGGATCAAATCAGGAATTCTTCTGCTTGTGATACGATGTTCTTTTCTACTCTGCCGTTTTTACCAAGGTCTTTAGAATTTGCTAGGTAATCGAGAATAATGTTGTGTTTGATACGAGTCAAACGCAAAACACATTTTGTGAACTCTGTGAAAGTCGGAACAATCTAATGACGATGAATGTCTTACTTTATAGAGGTCAGCCGAGGCCACGCCGCTGGCCCCGATGCCCTCGGGTTCTGTCTTGTACTGTAAGAATACCTGTCAAAAATGTATTGTTCGTTTAGGTTTTGCCTGACAGTAATTATTAAAAAGACAACAAACTCCTCTGACTATTTTTGGATTTGTTTTTAAGTGATTTCGTTCGTCTAAAACACAAGGCGGTGCTTTTATTATTTGGCAAAACAAGAAGTTTGTTCAAAATAATTTCCAGATACAGTCAGGGCTATTCAACCGGTGGCTCATGGGCCACATCCAGCCCACATGTAACTTAATTCCGGCCCACAAATGACTTTATTAGTTTTAAGAACATAATAGTGTTGAAGGAGCTCCACAGGAATCAGAATACTCACATATCCTGAAGCAAAGAGATAAAATAAAGCACTAAATCCTGTCTTTTTGCTTTTAGTTGAATAGCCTTGGTGTAAGTGTGGCTATTTAACAAAAAAAATTGATCCCGTTTGTCTTCACACCAGATAAGAGGTTATTTTTCATTCAGTCAATTAAAGATCCAAACCTTTCTTATAATAAATACATTAATTAACAAAGTTAAAAAGTTAATTGCAGCTTTAAAATGTTTTCATTCAGAAGCTTTTTTTTTCTGTAAAGCTTCAAGGACGATTCAGACATAAAGTTGCTGTAATATATGAAATCATTTATTTCTTACATGGTTTTAATAAAACAGCAATAATTGTTTTTGCAAACTGGATATGGACTTCGACATGCCTGACGTGTTTGTGAGTTCTAAAAGTAAGGGTTCTGAAACATCTGGACAGAACGAACAACTTATTTCCTTTGTGAGATTTTACACGTTTCTGTTTCAAGTAAATTAAAAGAAAAAAGCCTAGAAGTACACCAGAACAGGATGTGATGAAAAGCAGGAGTGACACAAAGTAGGGATACAACATATCTTCACTTTTTTTTTTTTTTTTTTTTGCTGTTGTTGTTTCCTTATTTAAAAAAAAAAACTTCTGAAGATTCTTCTGTTTTTTGTCATTAATGAAATGTTAACTCATGCCAGCTGGATGCATCTCAGTGCAAATATGAAGACATGCATGAGCACGACATTCATGGGAAAAACAAACACTTCTGCTTGAATAAGCTATAGCTTCAACATGAAGATAATAGCAAGCTTGATTAGTGTTCTACAGTCATCTGAAGTTGCTTTAGTATCATAAATAATTAGAAAAACAAGGATTTGTTGCAAGAAATTCTCRTTTTTTTTTGTTTTTGGTGATAGCAATGCAGTAGATTTGTCCTCCACATCAGAAGATTTGGATGAGATGAAGTGATGTTTTTWTGTTTTGTTTTGTTTATAGGCAAGCAGACAAGTTCAGTTTTGTTGTGGAAACGCCTTTTTTAAAGGAGATTCAGTCCATGTTTAGGGACCAAGTACGCCCAGGTTTTACCCTGCTTCAGTTTGGTCCTTCAGTGCTGATGATTCAACTGGGCAGTAACCACGGCTCCACAAAGTCCCAGTGCTTCCACAGGATGAAGAGGAGCAGGGTCAGCAGCACCGTGGCCCCGACCCGGGCTCGGGTCTTCATCAGCGGCGTGATGAAGTTGGCCAGGGTGGAGACGAAAACCAGGAGCACGGCCATGAGGGCCAGGATGACGTTGATGAGCTTCCCCAGGAGGGCTCGAGCGTTGGCGTTCTCCACCCCCTCCAGCTGAACCACCTGCTGCTGCTGCTGCTGAAGCTCCAGTTTGGTGATGCGGGTCAAACACGACTCCACGGCTTCCTGCGGGGAGAAATCACGAGGTTAGTCCATTTCCACCAGTTTCTGTTAAAGGCGCAGACATCTAAAATCTTTGACTTTTACATTGTATTGTGTGTGAGAGCATATTTATTATTTTTTCATATTTGGATTTTTTTCTCGTCTGAAGTGCATCAGTTTATTTTTTCAGCGTGACTAAGTTCTGCTGTTCGTTCTGAATGAATCATCCTCTGTATCTGAAAAGTGAAGCCAATACAGAGATGGTTTGTCTCCAACAGACCTTACAAAAAGTGAGAAAATTTCTTAAACAGTCCTTGAATTAGTTTATTATTTGGCTTTTTAAAAAATTTCTTGAAGCCTTTTTATTTTATTTATTTGGTCACTTTTTAAAATAACTCTTGAAGTGAGTTTATAAGGAGCTTAATCAGGGGGCATATTTTGCAAAATCAACTTTTTTCAGCTTTTTATCATGTTATGATGTCATTCCCTCGTCACAAACCAGACTTACTTTGACTTGTTTATTCCTGTTTGAGAAATCCTTGAATCTCCTGTGGTGGTCACATATTTACACTAGATAGGCAAATGTATTTTTGATGTATGCAGCATTTCATAACAACTGAAGTACAGTATGTGCCTGCAAAATACATAACATCCCCCCTTTAATGGCCCTCAAGTTCAGCACAATTACCATATAAACAGAAATAGCATTCAAATGTTTTAGATTTACCRGTTTTTCATAATTTGTCACCAAGGTAGTCAAACTATTTTTTAGATGGTTCTGGTGTTTGTCTGTTTGTGTTTAAGTCTCCATTAAATCATGTTTTTACTTATTCATCGCTTGAACATAAGCATCAAACACAACAATGACAAAGGTTTAGTTGAATTTAAGAGTTTCTTGTTTACAAAAGAACATTTAAACATCGGTGGCTCATTCTGCGCTCAGACCTTTTACAAATTTTGTGTTCGGTGAATCAAAATATTCATAAACATAACTGAGCTAAAGGTCGATTGACCGTTGTTTTTCACTGACTGAAGCCACTATTGATCTTTAGAAAGTACAGCTGTTTTATTTAGTCAAATTACTGGTTTCAAAATGAGAAAAAAAATTAAAGACTAGCATATACAAGTGGAGGAGTTTAAGTATCTGGATGTTTTGTTCACGAGTGATGGTATGGAGCGGGAATTGGATCGACGGATTGGGGCCTCATGCTCAGTAATGAGAGCYTTGCTTCGGTCAGTTGTGGTGAAGGAAGAGCTCAGTCGAAAGGCAAAGCTCTTGATTTACTGGTCTGTCTTTGTTCCAACCCTCACCAATGGTCATGAGGCTTGGATCATGACCGCAAGAACGAGATTCCGGATACAGGCGGCCGGAATGAGCTTCCTTCGTAGGGTGGCCGGGCTCAGCCTTAGAGAGAGGGTGAGGAGCTCGGAGTAGAACCGCTGCTCCTCCACATTGAAAGGAGTCAGTTGAGGTGTTTCGGGCATCTGATTAGGATGCTTCCTGGACGCCTCCCTTTAGAGGTGCTCCGGGCACGTCCCACTGGGAGGAGGCCCCGGGGAAGACCCAGGACTCGCTGGAGGGATTATGTATCCTCTCTGACCTGGGAACACCTAGGGTTCCCCAAGGATGAGTTGGAAAGTGTCACTGGGGAGAGAGAGATCTGGGTTTCTCTCCTGGACCTGTTGCCTCCATGACCCGACTACTGATAAACGGAAGAAAATGGAGATATATACTGTATCCAACCCGTTCTCACCTGAATGTCCCTTGCTCTCTCGTACGACTGGTAGGCGACTTTTTCCTCCATGCTGGCCAGCTCCTGTTTTAAATTGGTCATCTCGTTCTGGTGCAGCTCTGTCAGGTCGTTCAGCTGCTCCTCAAGTCTCTCGTACCTGAACAGACAGCGCAACAACAACAAAAAGTTTATTCAATGTCATGTAGTTAATTTCTCTTTACCTCAAAACGCTCTTCCAAAGTTATTTTTATCATCCAAGCTGACATTCTCAGTAAATGACGTTTCGTACAATAAATAAGTTTAGTTTGTGTTAATCRCAGAATCCCTGCTCCAATACCGACTCACTGTAATATTCAGTAATCCAGAGCTGAAAATAGTCTTCTGACAAGTGCTAAAACCTGTGCTGTACACATACTGTAGATCTGTTTTAAGTCGTACTTGAAATGAAAAGATTAATCCTCAAAGAGGAAAAAAGAGTTGATTTTGATCTTTCAGGATTTATTTATACTTTTTTTAATTGACCAATAACACGTTATCGTGCAGGTGGAAACCATTAGGATGGCAGGTGCATTGTGGGTAAATTAGCACCTGTATCTCTCCTCCTGCAGACACTGCGTCATGTAGGAGTAGTCGCTCTGCAGCTGGCCCTTCATGTCCTCAATGCTGTCCTCCATTTGCGTTTGGCCGGCTTTGATCTCCTGCAGGCCCTCCAGCAGGGAGTCCCACGAGCTGGGCATGTGATGGTGGTGATGGTGGTGCCCGTCCAGTCGGGGGCTCCCCATCGTCGGCCCTAACAGTCCCCCCACCCCACCGGCCCCACCCGAGTTGCTGCCCACGCCGGAGCCGGACGTCGCGCTGGAGCACTCGTCGTCGCTGCCGTACTTGGGGCTGGACACCAAGGTGGCGCTCCCACTCAGAGCCCGGGGCGTGGGGGTGTCCTCAGAGTGGCCCCCGACCCCGTCCTCGAGAGTGTCCTTTAGGTGGGCGATGTTATCCGCGCTGCCGAACTTGTTTCGGATCAGGCTGGCGAACTCCCTCGGCTTCGAGACCACGGCTGTGTGAGTGAGGGCCGACACGCCACCTTTGACCCCTTCCACCACTCCGCCTCCGAAACCGCTGATCCCGGCACGAACGTTGGCTCCCACGTCCTTTAACCCCTGCTGCATGTCCCGCAGGACATCCTTGGGTTGTCGGGCCGGTCCATTCTGCGGAGAGGTGAGAGAAACGACAGCAGTGATGAGTTTAGAAGACAAAACTGAGGAAGACTCGGACCTGTAGGATAAATCTTGTACCAGCAGGAATAATTTGAATTGAATAGAAAGCCAGRTATTTTATTGCAGTGATTAATTTTACCTACCGTATATGTAGAAAATGTTACATTTACATCCCATCATGGATCACATATTGATCAGATGCTGCTGCTGACTGATCTATGATGTGATGTAAATGTAACATTTTCTACATACATGGTAACATTAATCACTGCAATAAAATAACTTTGTCTGTTTTTGTCACTTTTACGGTGGATTGCATCAACTCTGTTACATTACAGAAGGGAAACTTCACCAAAGTGAAACATAAATCTGTGGATCTGTGTTTGATTACCCTGCCTGGCTTTCTCAAGGACCAGGATGTGACACAAAAATCTGAATTTTAGAACTGAAAGTGAATTATGGGACTAAAAGTGAAAGTAATCAAACTGAATTTTTAATAAACCAAAACACAGTTTCAAAGCAAATTAATTCAAATTCAAAACTTTAAATTCAGTTTCAATTTAGTGAAATTTATTTTCAAACCAATGCATTCAATTTCAAATTATGCACAGTCAGATTCAATCTGAGCAATTCAAATTCAATTCCTGCTGGCACAAGATTTATCTCATATGGACCATCCATGGACACAGCTGTCCCCCTTCCCCTCACATGATGCACTTGCTCACCTGCTCGATCTCCTTCAGCTTCTTGTGATAGTGCTCTAGTTTCTTGTGTAAGTGTGCGATGGTCTGTGCGGACTTCTGGTTCTTCTTCTCGAACACCTGCTTGATCCTGGACGCCTGCTGTTTGTCTGCGTTGTGGGCCAACTTCAGGTACTCGGCCACATTGTCGTCCCGGGCCTCTTGCTCCACACGGATCTGCTCTGTGACCTTCAGGATCTTCTGCTGCAGGTGCTCCAGGGCTGCGCGRGTCCGCTGCGGCTCACCGGTCCCCAAACCCTCCGCTCCTGCAACCCCGCCTGCCGCCGCCGCCACCGCCGCCGCCGCTCCGTCCGAACTGATGTTGCTGTCAGAGCCGCCATGGCTGGTGGTCGAAGGTAGGCCTAGAGTTGCCACCTCACTCTTGTCCAGCTGAGGGGACAAATAGACAGTTAGAGGGGTACAGCTCAAGCAGATGGATTCATGTGTGAACTAAAATCTACAAAAAACAAAACAAAAGAAAGAAAATGGACCACATATTAGATGTACTGTGCAAAAGTTTCAAACCACTTCTAATTTGATTCATAGCTATTTCCAATATTCAAGGTCAGCATTCAACTGTTGTTTTGGTCCTCCTCTACATTTAGGCTAAAATTAATGGAATAAATGAAAACTAAGGCAAAAATTCTTCTAGTTTCAAAAAAAAATAAATACAATTTAGATTGAGAAAAATAAGAATTACAATTAATCATAATTCAAATGAGTCAAACTAAAAGTATGACAAAATGAAGAAATAGGATGAACATAAAACTTGACAAATTTGTGAATAATTTGACTAAAAACCAAACTTACAATATGAGTCATGCAGGTATAAAGGTTGTTCRACATGCGAAGAAAGTATCTATTATATGTTCACGAGTTTTATTGTAATTTAAACATTATTTCAAGACACTATACTACCCCTTCTGATAAAGAACCTCTTAGTGCCTAAAAGGGGTTAATTTCAAAAACTCAGTGTTTCTGCTCTGAGAGTGCACAGAGCAGCATTAATTAGATGATCCATAATTACACTGCTTCCTTTCCCAGAACGGCCCGATAACCTCGGCTCGCAAACGAGTTGCTCTGAAACGCTTGCCTAAAAACGCACTGTGGCTGCAAAATGTGCATTTAAAGGTACTCACTGCAAACCATGAAATCAAACACATAAAGATTGAACTAGATCAAATGGGTAAGTTTGAATTAGTTGACCCTAGTAGTTTTCCAGATYCGTTGATATTAGGACTGCATCYACACAGAAAATTCACGATTCGGTTCGGTTCAATACTTTAGTCTCACAGTTCGATATTTTGTCGATACATAAAAGAGAAATTTCCCATGCCCTTTTAAAATTGTAATTTATTTAAATTAAGTATGAACATTTGTTCAACCTCAAAAGTACAGTTTTTAAATTAAATGTTGCTGAAACAGCAAGTTTCTCAGTGGATCTGCACTCAAAACTGCAGCCTAGGTGGAGTAGTCGAACACAGATCCACTGATCCTTCAACACAGAGCATCTTCAGAAGACAAGTTGATAAAGTCAATTTTAAAAATCAGTATTGTTCCATACGGTTTGATACGGGTACATGTATTGTTGCACCCCTATTACGTATATATATTAAATGTTGCTGAAACAACAAGTTTCTCAGTGGATCTGCACTCAAAACTGCAGCCTAGGTGGAGTAGTCGAACACAGATCCACCGATCCTTCAACACAGAGCATCTTCAGAAGACAAGCTGATAAAATAAATTTTAAAAATCAGTATTGTTCGATACAAGTGTGTAGGGCATTAGTGRCTACATACTTCTCAAACATTAGGTTATGAGGGAAATCACGAATTCTTTCTGTGGGCAGAATAAACACTTCTCTGTATTGAACAGTTCAATACGGGAACATGTATTGTTGCATCCCTAGTTGATATGTATTRTGAAATGCAGGTACACACTTAATATAAACCAGGGGTAGGCAATCCTGGTCCTCAAGTGCAGCTGTCCTGCATGGTTTAGTTGTTTCCCTGCTCTAACYCACCTGATTCAGAGAGTGAATTYCCTTTTCCAAGTTCTGCAGAAGTCTGTTAATCACCATTCATTCAGATCAGGTGTGTTGGAGCAGAGAAACATYTAAAACATGCAGGACAGCGGCACTTGAGGACCAGGATTGCCAATCCCTGATATAAACAAAGCAATAGGCTGACTCCACAGAAAACGTGGAGGTATGAGTCATTGCATTAGGCTCAACAAATACGACAGACTRGGACAAGCGTAGAATCTCTGAGGAGACCTTCAGGTGACAAAATAAGATAAAAAATGTCAAGAATGCTGATCAAGTCTTCTATTTTATCAACAAATCTAAGTGTAAATATGTACCAACTCATCAAAACTGACAAAATTTTCATTCCCAAACAGTTCTTTTATTGAAGGCTGCCCTAATTTCAGGCTGATTTTGTAATAAAACGTATGTAAGTTGGCAATTTAATCTAAAGACATAACATTACGAGGTAAATATTTTTGCAGGTCAGGTTACTTTATGGTTATTTTTGACCTGTTTTCATGACTTTGCAGTTAGAAGCTTTAAAACCATGAGAATATGATGTAACTGATGCAAATCTGAAACKTCTTGGTGGTCTTTATGTTCCTAASAGATGGGGACAAATGATTGACCCTCTGAGGGGGGATTCCCTGTTGGATCTGTAGGTGACTTGRGGCTGGGAGGATGGACATTAATGACATTCCACCTGATGTCCAAACACTGTAATCAGATGAACATGAGCTGAGGCATGACACCACAACATCACACAGACCTGCTCTAAAATCCAAGCTGCGATGATTTACGCTTATTTTACTTGTGAGACTGACAAAGCAGGTTCTGATCACTTTACAAYAGAGGAAAATAGATGACTAGAGAGTCAGATCTTTTCAAGAAGCTCAGCAGTTGCTCGTAGTAGGGAGGTGGGGAGGGGGATGCATCTCAGCGTCACATATGGATGAAAACAGACAACAGAAAAACAACACAAAAAGGAGAAAAATAAAACCAGACATTTGAAAATGTCTTTTCTAAAAGCAGAGTTACGTCGAGGGTGGATCGGGGCTCCCGATGGTCGGAGGAGATGATGTCTGAGGCATGAAAACAACAGGACAGGGTWTGCTTTCTTCCCCCTGCCGGAGACACACTGTGGCATGGGAGACAGGACGATGGACATCAGCGAGACGTGGACACGTGAGGATGAAACACAGTGAAAAATCAAATCAGAAACGTTACCATACTGCTTTCAATCCAATATTTGCAGTGCCATCGCAAGTCTGTCTTCCAGGCCCATCCTCCTCCGCCTCTTCCTCCCTCTTCCTCCTCCTCCTCCTCTCTCTGTGCTCACCAAAAAGGAGCACCCCCCCTCCTCCTCTTCAAATACAGTATCTGAACCCCCCCCAGCCGCTGTCAGGCGGGCTATCACCTCTGTGGATCCTACTGCTCCATTGTTGATGCCATCGATATATGCAGCCTCACTCTCCCTCTCCCTCTGTCCCTGATCTATTTTCCTCTCTTTCTCTCCCCCTCCTTTGTGTCATATGTTTCCTCCTCCACCCCCTCCCCCTGGATGGATGTGGGAGAGCTCAGGGACAGATGGGTGGAGGGTAGTGGGAGAGCTTGGCGCAGGCGTGCAGGTGCTCCTGTGTTATTATGGCAGAGAGGCTAAACGGGGAGGGAGGGAGTGGAGAGGGAAGGTTCCAGGCACAATACACACACATGCACACACACACACACACACACTTTAAGCCTTCATCGCACAGCCAGGCATGCACTGATGTGTTGCCAAAGTACACAGCAGCTCTGAGCAGTGATTCCCCCTTTCTTCACAGAAGAATGAAAGGATCCCAACAATCCGTGACTCTGTGTTTCTTTAACGTGCGGTGTTCCTGTTCAGGCTGGAGTGTCAGAGCGAGCGCTGCGGGGAGGGACGAGACGAGATGGAAACAAGCTTTCATCACAAGAGAGGAACTGGAGGTGTCGCTGTAAAGACATGTGAGTACTGTTGCTGCAGAAATAGTACGATCTTATTAAAGTGACAGAAATATGGAAAATGAAAATCTACTCAAATATCTTTTTAAGTAAAGTTATGCAGGAAGGTAATGAACAATCAACATCTTATCTGTCGTAGATAGCTCTTTGAACATATGCTCACTGCAGTCAGGGTCACTATAGTAGTGTTCATAGTCTGATGTGAGGATGTACACTCACCGGCCCCTTCATTAGATACACCACGCTAGTAACGGGTTGGACCCCCTTTTGCCTTCAGAACTGCCTCAATTCTTCGTGGCATAGATTCAACAAGGTGCTGGAAGC